GAGCATGGAGTCGATATGGAAGAAATGGAGTCCATTCAGGAGAATGGGGAATGGCACAAGAGATGGCATTTGCTGCCTAATTATCATATCATGTTCTTTGCTATTGTGGGCGGAGTCACACAAGGAAACAATAGACATTGTTAAAACTATGCCCAGCAGAAGCCTCACTGCAACATCAGAAAAACATGATGAGCTACGGAGGCAGAAGAGGAATTTGTATGATGGGGATTTGACTCTTCTTCATCTTCAATGCCCTTGCTGATGGAAGGAGGTTGTCATTCAAAATCTCACGATACATGGCCCCATTCATTCTTTCCTTTACACGGATTAGTGGTCCTGGTCCCTTTACAGAAAAACAGCCCCAAAGCATGATGTTTCCACCCCCATGTTTCACAGTAGGTATGGTGTTCTTTGGATGCAACTCAGCATTCTTTCTCCTCCAAACACGTCTAGTTGAGTTTTTACAAAAAAGTTATATTTTGGTTTCATCTGACCATATGACATTCTCCCAATCCTCTTCTGGATCATCTAAATGCTCTCTAGCAAACTTCAGATGGGCCTGGACATGTACTGGCTTAAGCAGGGGGACACATCTGGCACTGCAGGATTTGAGTCCCTGGCGGCGTAGTGTGTTACTGATGGTAGCCTTTGTTACTTTGGTCCCAGCTCTCTGCAGGTCATTGACTAGGTCCCCCCGTGTGGTTCTGGGATTTTTGCTCACCGTTCTTGTGATCATTTTGATCTTGCGTGGAGCCCCAGATCGAGGGAGATTATCAGTGGTCTTGTATGTCTTCCATTTTCTAATAATTGCTCCCACAGTTGATTTCTTCACACCAAGCTGCTTACCTATTGCAGATTCAGTCTTCCCAGCCTGGTGCAGGTCTACAATTTTGTTTCTGGTGTGCTTTGACAGCTCTTTGGTCTTGGCCATAGTGGAGTTTGGAGTGTGACTGTTTGAGGTTGTGGACAGGTGTCTTTTATACTGATAACGAGTTCAAACAAGTGCCATTCATACAGTTAACGAGTGGAGGACAGAGGAGGCTCTTAAAGAAGAAGTTACAGGTCTTTGAGAGCCAGAAATCTTGTTTGTTTGTAGGTGACCAAATACTTATTTTACCGAGGAATTTACCAATTAATTCATTACAAATCCTACAATGTGATTTCCTGGATTCTTTCCCCCCATTCTGTCTCTCATAGTTGAAGTGTACCTAGGATGAAAATTACAGGCCTCTCTCATCTTTTTAAGTGGGAGAACTTGCACAATTGGTGGCTGACTAAATACTTTTTTGCCCCACGTATCTTGCTAGACAGACAAGTTCGAGAAATTCCTCCATTCTGGCAATACAGGGTCCCCCTGTGGCATGGTCTGAGTTATTTTCGCTTAGATCCACTCCATCAGTGTGTCTGCCAGAGATTTTGGCAGTTGTACATTATTATTCTAGTTTTGATTGGGACTCTGAGGATCTGATGCAGGAGTGACACAGGTGCTCAATGGAAACTCTGAGCTTTTGGAAAATCAGGAAAATGCAAGTGGACAGTGAAATTCTAAACAGTATTTTGTGGTATTGTTCGAATTTGCAACCCCAGCGTGATCCCGAAAATACTATGCTATCAGAACCAGTAGAAGCTCCTATAACTCATCCAAATGCATCAACCTTTCCTTGTGTATGTAACAATGGCACGGGTCAAGTGTTTTTCAAGCTGTATTCGACCATTAGGTGGTTTGTCAATGAAAGGTAGACATGGCAAATTGGGAAACACTCAGGAATAATAAGATGATTCAAGTAAATGATATATTGTATACAAACATGTCTTTAGGACTACCCTCAATACAAAATGTATACTGGCTGTGTGGTGTAGATGCGTACTATTATTTGCCTAAAAATTGGAATGGCTGTTGTCAACATGTAAATCGCACCATTGCTAACAAGCCCGAAGGTCCCCGCCGGCAGGGACCCTGGGTATTTTTTTCACGACACTGTGTCTCAGGGCATCTTATTATTTAAAAACCTATTAATGTGTTATACCAGATTAACGAGAAGAATCTCAGCTAACTGACGATACGAACCATTTTTACCGAAACAAAACACAAGTCTCACAAGAAGCGTTAGCATTAGCCCTTAGCTAAAACGGGCAGATGCTACTTCCGGTGCTAACTAGCAAAAACGATCTTTAAAACTGCATATTTTCTGCACAAACTACATATCATCTGAAAGCTGATACTTCACAGATTATTTTGTTATAAGTATCATCACTGTAGGATACAAACTCACTGAGCTAGCAGCCAGAACAGAGAAGAAAAAAAACAACAGTTTTCAAAACCATAACAATAATGATGTCTTACCGTTGCTGTTTTGTGATCAAAGCTCTTGTTCAAGGGAATAAAAACCCTGTTTAAGGTTAATCCAATGTCTCTTAGTCACTTTAGAATTGTTCCTGATAATCTATCATTACATTCATGGCAGTCCCGAGCTAATGCTGTCTCACGTGCTGTTTACGCAAACCTCTCTCTACTTGACGTAAGTGTTTAGCGGGATTTACACCTTTTCTGAACCGTTAGAGCCAATAGAATGGAGTGACAGTTAACTCCATTCTATTGGCTCTAACGGTTCAGAAAAGGTGTCAATCACCCAAATCGACCAATGGGTTCCAAAGATATGATCCTATAAACTACGCCGCTCCGGCTCCATTACGCAATACGCATTACGCAGCAGGACAGCACCACAGCAGGACAGCACCACAGCACGCAGCGACGATAGCAGCTAACAGAGCACATTTCAAGGACGTTGATTTCTTTGCTTTTAGATCTTTTTCTTGTGTATCCTCTTTCCATTTTAGCAAATAATGGCAGCCAGAAGAGAGAGCTTCACCACCGAGCAGGTGCTAGAGATGCTAGCTGACGATAGCGGGGCTATGATCATACCAGATGACTCTTCGTCGGATGATGAAGATCTCCTCCAGCCAGACCTAGATCCGGACAGTAGTGACTCCAGGGGCGGCGGGTGCTGTAGGCTAGGGAAGGCTAACGGCCCGTCTACACTACAGGCGTCAAAAAATGCTTTCAACGCTTCGCCCATTCATTTGAATGGGGTGACGTAGGATATTTTAAAACTTCGCCGAACTGCATTGTGGGTAGCTTGGCAAGGCGTTGCAAGCATCGCGAGCGTCAAAAGTTGAACAATGTTCAACTTTTGAGGCTCGATGCTTTCTCGAAGCTGGCGTCAGCCAATCAAATCCCGTTTTTGCAATTCCCGCCAGTACAAGCGCTAGCCAATCAAACCGTGTGTATGCTGATCCCGCAGGTCTTGACTATTTTCCATATCTCATAAAATGGAGGACAAATTAATCATTGCCGTGGCAAATGTCCCAGTCCTGTATGACTGTACTCTGTTCACCTACCGGGACCTAAACCGGAGGAACCAGGCATGGCGGGAGGTGGCAGAGACAGTTGGTGAAACTGGTAGGTTTTCAACTGTTTGGGGAGTTTATATCCAGTTTACTTCGTTTTAGCATTGAATGGACAGCTAGTAATGTAGCATAATAACATATAATATTCATATAATAATAAAAAAACATTATAATAAGTATAAGCATAATATATAACATAACATATAATACATGCACAGCTATCAAGCATAGACAGTATATTTAGCCAGCTAGTAATGTAGCATAACATATAATATATATTAATAAACAAATATTATATATAATATAATAAGTATAAGCATAATATATAACATATAATACATGCAGAGGGTGTCGTTTTTCTCATACTGATATTCTGAACAATCTGTGCTGTTGTATTTGCTGTAAAGTGTCTCTACTGTAGGCTAATTTTATTATATGTACAGCACTTTGGCTCGACCAAAAATCGTTTATAAATGTGCTATATAAATCAAACTTGATTTGATTCACAGCTATCAAGCATAGACAGTATATTTAGCCAGCATGGAATGTAGCATAAAAATAGCATTCATTAATGGAGGAATAATTTAGTAAATTCAAGAAATTCACTTTATTATTTATTAACTTTATTATTTCATTTCATTTTATTAGATAATGTCTGCAAGAAGAGTCTGAGGGACAGGTTCCGCAAGGAAAATAATATGGAGAAGGAGGCCAAAAGAAGAGGGGCAGGGTCTGCAGGGGGGTACAAGCCCTGGCGTTTCATGGCAGTGATGGGGTTTTTAACCCCATTCATCATAGACCGTGAGACATCCAGCAATGTCCCCCGGCAGACCCTGCCTCCATCCACCCTGGTGGCAGAGGAAGAGAGCCAGGTAGACAGTGAGTCAGCCAGCCAGTCCACCAGCCAGTCCGCCAGCAGGAGAATGCTGAGGTCCGGGGCAAAACACGGGGGAGGGGGAGGGAGATGTCCCCGTTTGAACGAAGTCTGCTGTCTGCTGTCAGCAATTACCCAGCAATTGCCCAGCCAACCCCACCAGTGGTGGAGGAGGACGAGGACTTGCAATTTTTCAAGAGCCTCTTGCCCATCATGAGGCAGATGACAAGGGCACAGAGGGCAAGAGTCCGCCTCGGGGTACACCAGCTAACTTTTGACGTGGACCAGCAGGACAATTTATAGTTTAATAATTTTTTCACACATACTGATCCACATTACATTTTTTTACACTCATCACTCATCACACACACTCAAATAAAACATTATTTCAAGTATGTTATGGCTATACTGTGTCTTCACTTGTTCATGTGGTTTGTCAGTTGCAACATACCAGAAGCTTCATGTATATCGGTATATATAATGTGCTTTCTTCTGTAATTGGTCATGTGAAAACCTATTGAAATTATGAGTGATTTATCAGTAAAAACAGGGCTGAAAGAAAAAGGTTGTTAGTCATATCATAATATAATAATATCAATTCAAGAAACATGTTTATTAGGAATGTTTGATTTTAAAATGGCTCATTTGAAATATTTGCTCTTTAAAGAAAATGGGTAGCTCTTAAAAGAGCTTTTGGTTTGGAGGAGCCATGGTGACCCTACACCACTTTATGCTGCCATGACACTACACCCTCCTCATTCAAATAGGAGCAGAAGGTCTCCCGCAGTTGGATGGATCGGCATGTGGCGTTGTTTGAGCCCATCATAGGTGCATCGCGCAGGGTTGGAGCTTCATCACTCGACTCTGCAACGACAGGGACGACAGGTGTGCGTGATGACCTTCCTATTGTCTTCCTGCGGAGGAAGTTGTGCAACACACAGGTGGCCTTCACACACAACTCTGTTACCTCCGGGCTGGTGGTGATGACACGCCGGAACATTCTCCACTGAGATGAGAGGATGCCAAACGCACATTCAACCACCAACCTGGCCCGGCTGAGGCGGTAGTTGAACAGCCTCCTTTCACGCGTGAGCTGACGTCCAGGGAACGGACGCAGCAGGTTGTCCAGCAGCGGAAAAGCCTCATCTCCAATAAACACATGGGGAAGAAGGCCCAGCCGCTCTGCTCCTGGGATGACGGTGTCAGGTGGTAGCTGCAGACTGCCATCTCGGAGGCCCTCTCCAAAAGCGGAATTCCTCAGGCTCCCACTGTCGCCGCTCCTTCCAAAACCTCCGACATCCACTACCCTGAAGAGGTACTGGGCATCCACGACAGCCAGTAGCCAGGCCGGAGCCTGGATCACCACGTGCTTCCCATCAATGGCACCAACGCAATTTGGAAAGTTCCAGCGCTCCTGGAACCCAGCAGCGATGGCTCTCCAGTCCTCCGTCTGTGGTACCGGCATGGTCTCCTCGACCAGCGCGGTCCAGATGGCACCCGCAACCTCCTTGACGATGACAGCCACTGTTGCATGCCCGACCCGATAGCTGAATGCTATGGTCCTGTACGAGTCACCGGTTGCCAGGTACCTGAGAAAAAAGTAATATACAAGATTTTAAAAAAAAAGAGTTATACGCCACGCAGACACACACACCATAGACACACACATCACAGACACACACACACCACACACATCACAGACACACCACAGGCACACACATCACAGACACACACATACACCACAGGCACACACATCAGACACACACATACCACAGACACACACACCAACACACACATCACAGACACACACACACCACAGACACACACACCACAGACAGACACACACACACACACCACAGACACACACCACAGACACACACACACACACACACACACACACACAGGGGAGCAATACTGCGTTTACCTAGCTATCTTAATTAATGTCATTCATCTGAACTACATCACAGACTTCATTCCTCCATTGCATGCATTCTCTCTCTTTATATACAGAGTCATATTAAAGAAGTAGAAATACACAAAACGTACCGTAGGCAGATGGCGAGTCGCTCGGCGGGTCCGATTGACAAACGCATACGGGTGTCTGCCTTTGCAATCAGTGGACCGACTTTTCCGAGCAACTCGTCGAACGCGTCTTTGCTCATCCTGAAGTACTGCTGAAACAGTACACCATTCAGGCGGAGCTCTTGGACAAGAACGTGGTATTCCCCCCGTTGCAGACGTTTTCTGAGTATTGTATGTACCCAACAGCGACGCACTATACGTGGCCTCCTGCGAGACATTGCATAAACCAACGCTACCGTTGCTACAAAAACGGCATCCATTTTGGCAATAGTGTAGAAGAACCGGGCTTTTTTTGCTTTGTATGCTGGGGGCGGGCGGGAGATTCCTGATTGGTTGTTGGTCGCGAGAAATCGCCAAGCCTCAGACACGCCCAGCTTCAAGCTTTTTCGACGCCTGTAGTGTAGAACTGCGGTCAACTCAGCCGTCTCTCAAATTTGCTTGGTCAAATGAGCAGTTCTTCATTTCTGAGTGCGCGATTTATAGCGCCTTTACGGTAATCGCTGAGAAGCGGCACTAACGCAAGAGTAAAAATAATGCATGTTTTTTCTGCTTCATGCGATACAAATTATTTTTACCATGAGTTCTTAAAAAAACTAACACTGTTTGACTCAGTCCTAGTTTGACTGCTACCAACAATAAAATGAAGTACTTTTACTGTCTTTTTTCTGGGTAATACTCTCAAATTCCCCTCCTGAGAACAAAATCATGCAACTTCTGCTATATTTGATGAGATAAAATCATTTTTATCGATGCATCCTTAATGAAAGTGATACTGTTGGACTCAGTACTTGTTAGACTACTACCACAAGTACAATCAAGTACTTTTACTGTGTACTTTTGAGTAATCCCCTGTCAAACTCCCCTCCAGAGTACAATAATGCATGTTTTCTGCCCTCTTTGATGAGAGATAAAAGGATTTTTAAAAATAAGTTCTTAGTGAAATTATACTGTTGAACTCAGTACTACTTGGACTAGTAGCACAAGTACAATCAAGTACTTTTACTGTGTACTTTTTGAGTAATCCCCTGTCAAACTCCGCTCCAGAGTACAATAATGCATGTTTTCTGCCCTCTTTGATGAGAGATAAAATGATTTTGTGCAATAAGTTCTTAATGTAATTGGTACTGTTGGATTCAGTACTACTTGGACTACTACCAAAAGTACAATCAAGTACTTTTACTGTGTACTTTTTGAGTAATCCTTTGTCAAACTCCACCCCTGAGTACAATAATGCATGTTTTCTGCCATCTTTGATGAGAGATAAAATGATTTTGTGCAATAAGTTCTTAATGTAATAGGTACTGTTGGATTCAGTACTACTTGGACTACTACCAAAACTACAATCAAGTATTTTTACTGTGTACTTTTTGAGTAATCCTTTGTCAAACTCCACCCCTGAGTATAATAATGCATGTTTTCTGCCATCTTTGATGAGAGATAAAATGATTTTGTGCAATAAGTTCTTAATGTAATTGGTACTGTTGGATTCAGTACTACTTGGACTACTACCAAAACTACAATCAAGTATTTTTACTGTGTACTTTTTGAGTAATCCTTTGTCAAACTCCACCCCTGAGTACAATAATGCATGTTTTCTGCCATCTTTGATGAGAGATAAAATAATTTTGTGCAATAAGTTCTTAATGTAATTGGTACTGTTGGATTGAGTACTACTTGGACTACTACCAAAACTACAATCAAGTATTTTTACTCTGTACTTTTTGAGTAATCCTTTGTCAAACTCCACCCCTGAGTACAATAATGCATGTTTTCTGCCATCTTTGATGAGAGATAAAATGATTTTGTGCAATAAGTTCTTAATGTAATTGGTACTGTTGGATTCAGTACTTGGACTACTACCAAAAGTACAATCAAGTACTTTTACTGTGTACTTTTTGAGTAATCCTTTGTCAAACTCCACGCCTGAGTACAATAATCAACCCTGTCTCCTAAAAATTACGTTCCCACAGAACTAAACTGCATTCTCAATTACGTTTAGCCAGAAACGTATTTTCTCCCACGTTACGTTCGTTATGAACGTATCTCAAATACGTTTATTTTCGACATATCTTCTAGAAACATATCTTCTCCCACGTTACGTTCGTTATGAACGTATCTTAAATACGTTTATTTTCTACATATCTTCTAGAAACGTATTTTCTCCCACGTTACGTTCGTTATGAACGTATCTTAAATACGTTTATTTTCTACATATCTTTGCCATTTATTGCCTTGCTTATAATAATGATAATAGTCATTTATAAATATCATTTTAGAGCACACATTTGAAATCGAGAATCGGGCTCGATATATGGTTAAATTAAAATCAGTAGGCGAGGCTGTAATTTCGGCAGCTGTTACTCTCATGAGCGAGGCAGAAAATATTAGTTTTAACATGACAAAAAGCTGCTGTGTCGTTTATTGCACCTCAAAGATTAAAACAAATCCAGAGTTACTTGTTTCTGTACTTCCTCTAAGAAGAAAGGACAGTAAAAGAAGAGCTCTGTGGCTTCAGGCTTGATCGCCGTTCAAATGACAGCGTTGGTTTCCCCAAAAGTGGGCGGGGCTGTAAAGTGACGTTTTACTATCATCTATTATTCAAAACCATTCTATTTATTCTAACGTAAATTACATGCCAGTGTTTTATCTTTTTATTTATTTGTTTTTATTTTAAATCGTATAAATGTCTGTGAGGAAAATAAATGGGGTTTAGAGCCTCAAAATATTGAAATCTGTATTTTTTAAAAATCTTTTCCTTCTAATTTGTTATTCTTTTCTAAATAACACTGTTATTTACTCAACCATAACACACAATTATCCTTGTTTTTATTTATTCGTTTAATTCTATAATCTTGGGCTTTTTAGCCGTAAATAAAGTCACTGGAAACAGACGGGACATTTCGAGCGATACACACCACAAACCCACCGAACTGATTACCCAAGATCCTCAGCTTGAAGCTCGTTGATTGGATGTTTTAGCCGCAATAAACGCTGGGATATGGTGTTAATAAGTTGTGATATCCGAAAACGAAAAATAAAATAATACCTAATTCAGAGTGTTCTTGCTTTTCTCTTTGGAAGTCATCACATAACGGCATTGTAATACACGGTTCGGCTGCATTAAATATTATACATCTGCCGTAGTTCTTTATTTATGATGAGAAGACTTCTAGACAAACATGAGGAACTGCCGCCAAAACTGAATACTTGATGTGGATCATAAATATATCAACAATTAAACAACATCTTCAATTTCTTTTCACAAAATACGTCTCCTTGCAGTATCAATAGTAATTCGGCTGACTTTTATATTTGATCCAATTGGTAGATAATAGGTTATATTTACACCATAACGGTGCACAGCTGATAGAAAAGGACTTGTAGTTTTTAAAGATATTACTGATTTTCTTTGAATATAAGAATGTAAATACTGAGTTGAGAGAATAGTCAGGGGATTTGGGTGATGGGAGACACATCTATGGATTCAGAATTTCAATAGCGTACCATTAAATGACGGATATACCTTTCTGTCTGTGATGTTTTACAAATCAGATATTAATGTGTAGAAGTAAAACATGTGAAATAATATAGCAATATCCTGTAAAATTATGTAAAAACATGAATAAAACTACACATCTTCAGATGTTATACATACATAAGTGTTCTACACTAATAATACAAAGTTATTATTAGTATGCTGTTTGTACCTTGTGTGCACCGCCTAGTGGTTAAAGCACGTTATTGAATTATTTTTGTTGAATAATGTTATTTGATGAAAACAATATAATAATAATAATAATAATAATAATAATAATTTCAATTTATATAGCGCCTTTCACGAAACCCAAGGATGCTTTACAATGGGAAGTAACAAAACAAAAAGTAATAATAAAGATACATAGGCTGAAGAAAACAAAAACAGGAACAGGTTGCTGAGTACTGTATATTAGTTGAGGCCAAAGGCCTGAGTGAACAGATGGTGTTTGAGGTGTTTTTTGAAGGTGTCCAGAGTGTCTGCATTCCTGATTGCACAGGGGAGAGAGTTCCAGAGGGTGGGGGCTGCGACACTGAAAGCTCTGTTGCCAAATGTTTTCAGCTTGGAGCGCTGGATGGAGAGCAGCCCTTTGTCAGAGGACCGCAGGTGACGAGAGGGGGTGTAGGGCTGAAGGAGGTCAGAGATGTATGGAGGGGCTAGGGAGTGGAGAGATTTGTAAGTCAGCAGGAGGAGTTTGTACTGGATGCGTGACTTGACCGGGAGCCAGTGAAGGTGGATGAGGGTAGGAGTGATGTGTTGCCAGGGCTTAGTGTGGGTGAGGAGCCTGGCTGCAGAGTTCTGGACGTACTGGAGCCTGTCCAGGGCTTTGCTGCTGACCCCGAACAGAACTCCATTGCAGTAGTCCAGACGAGAAGAGATGAAGGTATGAATTAATGTTTCTGCAACGGGGTCGGGGAGAGTGGGCCGGAGTCTGGAGATGTTTCGTAGGTGAAAGAAAGCGGTTTTGACAGTAGATCTGATGTGGGAGTTGAAGGTGAGGCTGGAGTCCAGAGTGACGCCCAGGCTGCGAACCTCAGGGGAAGGGTGGATGGAGCCGCCATCGATGGTGAGGAGCAGATCTCCAACCTTCCGGAGCAGTGTTTTTGGGGCCACAACCATGAGCTCTGTTTTGTTATTGTTGAGTTTAAGTAGATTTTTTGACATCCAGGCTTGGATGTCGCGGAGGCAGTTGACAAGTGACAGTGGGGGTAGCTGGGATGATGGATTGGTACTGATGTAGAGTTGGGTGTCGTCGGCATAGGAGTGGAAGTTGAGACCATGTCGGCGGATGATTTCACCGAGGGGGAGCATGTAGATGTTGAATAGAAGGGGGCCGAGCACTGAACCTTGCGGCACACCTTGGTTGACAGGGGCTGGGGGAGAGCTGGATTTTCCGATGGTCACAAACGGTTGCCTGTTGGAGAGGTAGGAATGGAACCAGGAGAGGGCTGTACCAGAGAGGCCAAGGTAGACGGATAGGCGGTTGAGTAGGATAGTGTGGGAGACTGTGTCGAATGCGGCGGAGATGTCCAGGAGGATAAGGATGCTGATATTAAGAGTACATACTTTCATAGGGGGAAAGTAGAAGGTCAATGATAGAAATATAGAATATAAAAAGTCAAGAAGATACTATAAGTGATCTCTACAATAAAACAGTTTAGTGCCGGATGTACAAAGATATTAATAGGAGGATGTGCAAAACAGAAAAACGAATTAACCTTTATTAACACATTAAAGAATACTTTAGGTTAAGGTCTTATTTTAAACAAGAAAAAAGCTTTGGGGGTATCTATCTACCGATGAATATTAAGCCTGACAAAGTACTTAACGTCTAATATATTGCTTTCCTGCAATGTTAACTATGTTGAAGCACTTCTTTTAACTGATATTATACACATTAATTATACTCTTATGTATGTAGATAGTATAAGAAATGTGCAGAATATGACAGTTTAATGGTGGAGGTACACACATATTGATAGATGTCTTGTAATGCGCTGTTGAGGAACCTGCGACCCAAGTTGTGTATATGATCAATAAACCTTAGAAAATCTTGAAATCTTGAAAGGGATGTGCAAAATATCCATTATACAGTTTTTAATTAACTATTAGTAGAGAATAACGAGTAATGAATATACTTTATAGAGATCTGCAGATAAATGTTTCGTCTTCTCAAGCACCACCTATCAAATATCTCCCCTGATTGTTGGCACTTGACAATCACCTTCCCTGAATTTTACTCAGGTGTAACTAAAGTCTGCTTTAAGGGTTGTTTATATTTCACATCATTAATCAGAATCTGCAAAGTAACTAAACTAAATGTAGTGGAGTATAAATATCAGGTTAACCTCTGAATTGTAGTGGAGTAGAATTACAAAGTAAGCTGTCGTGTGGGTATATATTAATGCTGCCCATTATGGATATAAGCGATTTTTACCCATTTAGTAATTACATGTTTTAAATGTGTACACACCAATGTGTTTCCTATCGCCTAAACCTCCAGGGCTGTACACAGTTTAATACTGGCAACTTCTAATTTTGGGAAAAACGTCTTTTAAAACTACAATTCCCAGTAGATACGTGCCATAGAGAACATGTTGCGAAACACAATAGCCAGCATGTGTATTTCTCGGGGGGCGTTCGAGTCCAGTTTTGAATAGTCTGCCGTGGTTTCGTTCCATTTCAAAGAGCTTGACGCTCGGCGTAACCTTGGCGCACTGCCACTCCAACATCACGGGGTTTGTCAACGGGACTGTAGTCCCAAACGATAGCTGGGGATTATGGGTAGTGTAGTGTCTTCGGCCATCCTAAATCTCGAAATGTCCCGTCTGTTTCTGGTGACTTTATTTACGGCTAAAAAGCCCAAGATTATAGAATTAAACAAATAAATAAAAACAAGGATAATTGTGTGTTATTGTTGAGTAAATAACAGTGTGTTATTTAGAAAAGAATAACAAATTAGAAGGAAAAGATTTTAAAAAATACAGATTTCAGTATTTTGAGGCTCTAAACCCCATTTATTTTCCTCACAGACGTCTATACGATTTAAAATAAAAACAAATAAATAAAAAGATAAAACACTGGCATGTAATTTACGTTAGAATAAATAGAATGGTTTTGAATAATAGATGATAGTAAAAATCTACGTCACTTTACAGCCCCGCCCACTTTTGGGGAAACCAACGCTGTCATTTGAACGGCGATCAAGCCTGAAGCCACAGAGCTCTTCTTTTACTGTCTTTTCTTCTTAGAGGAAGTATAGAAACACGTAACTCTGGATTTGTTTTAATGTTTGAGGTAAACGACACAGCAGCTTTGTGTCATGTTAAAACTATTATTTTCTGCCTCGCTCATGAGAGTAACAGCTGGCGAAATTACAGCCTCGCCTGATTTTAATTTAACCATATATCGAGCCTGATTCGCGATTTCAAAGGTGTGCTCTAAAATGATATTTATAAATGACTATTATCATTATTATAAGCAAGACAATAAATGGCAAAGATATGTAGAAAATAAACGTATTTAAGATACGTTCATAAGGAACGTAACGTGGGAGAAAATATGTTTCTAGAAGATATGTAGAAAATAAACGTATTTTAGATACGTTCATAACGAACGTAACGTGGGAGTAAATACGTTTCAAGCTAAACGTAATTCAGAATGCAGTTTAGTTCTGTGGGAACGTAATTTTTAGGAGACAGGGTTGCAATAATGCATGTTTTCTGCCATCTTTGATGAGGGATCAAATTATTTTTATCCATAAGTTCTTAATAAAATTGGTACTGTTGGACTCAGTACATGTTAGACTACTACCACAAATACAATCAAGTACTTTTACTGTGTACTATTTGAGTAATACTCTGTCAAACTCCCCTCCAGAGTACAATAATGCATGTTTTCTGCCCTCTTTGATGAGAGATAAAAGGATTTTTAAAAATAAGTTCTTAGTGAAATTGATACTGTTGAACTCAGTACTACTTGGACTAGTAGCACAAGTACAATCAAGTAATTTTACTATGTACTTTTTGAGTAATCCCCTGTCAAACTCCCCTCCAGAGTACAATAATGCATGTGTTCTGCCCTCTTTGATGAGAGATAAAATGATTTTGTGCAATAAGTTCTTAATGTAATTGGTACTGTTGGATTCAGTACTACTTGGACTACTACCAAAACTACAATCAAGTATTTTTACTGTGTACTTTTTGAGTAATCCTTTGTCAAACTCCACCCCTGAGTACAATAATGCATGTTTTCTGCCATCTTTGATGAGAGATAAAATGATTTTGTGCAATAAGTTCTTGATGTAATTGGTACTGTTGGATTCAGTACTTGGACTACTACCAAAAGTACAATCAAGTACTTTTACTGTGTACTTTTTGAGTAATCCTTTGTCAAACTCCACCCCTGAGTACAATAATGCATGTTTTCTGCCATCTTTGATGAGAGATAAAATGATTTTGTGCAATAAGTTCTTAATGTAATTGGTACTGTTGGATTCAGTACTACTTGGACTACTACCAAAAGTACAATCAAGTACTTTTACTGTGTACTATTTGAGTAATACTCTGTCAAACTCCCCTCCAGAGTACAATAATGCATGTTTTCTGCCCTCTTTGATGAGAGATAAAAGGATTTTTAAAAATAAGTTCTTAGTGAAATTGATACTGTTGAACTCAGTACTACTTGGACTAGTAGCACAAGTACAATCAAGTACTTTTACTATGTACTTTTTGAGTAATCGCCTGTCAAACTCCCCTCCAGAGTACAATAATGCATGTTTTCTGCCCTCTTTGATGAGAGATAAAATGATTTTGTGCAATAAGTTCTTAATGTAATTGGTACTGTTGGATTCAGTACTACTTGGACTACTACCAAAACTACAATCAAGTACTTTTACTGTGTACTTTTTGAGTAATCCTTTGTCAAACTCCACCCCTGAGTACAATAATGCATGTTTTCTGCCATCTTTGATGAGAGATAAAATGATTTTGTGCAATAAGTTCTTAATGTAATTGGTACTGTTGGATTCAGTACTACTTGGACTACTACCATAAGTACAATCAAGTACTTTTACTGTGTACTTTTTGAGTAATCCTTTGTCAAACTCCACGCCTGAGTACAATAATGCATGTTTTCTGCCATCTTTGATGAGAGATACAATAATTTTTTACAATGAGTTCTTAATAAAATTGGTTATGCTGAATTCTGTATTACTTGGACTACTACCACGAGTACAATCAAGCACTTTTACTGTGTACTTTTTAAGTAATACTTGTTTAAACTCCTGTCCTGAGTACACAAAATAATGTATTCTGCTATATTTGATGAGAGATAAAATGATTTTGTGCAATAAGTTCTTAATGTAATTGGTACTGTTGGATTCAGTACTACTTGGACTATTACCAAAACTACAATCAAATACTTTTATGCTGTACTTTTTGAGTAATCCTTTGTCAAACTCCTCTCCAGAGTACAATAATGCATGTTTGCTGCCATCTTTGATGAGAGATAAAATCATTTTGTGCAATAAGTTCTTAATGAAATTGATACTGTTGGATCAATACTACTTGGACTAGTAGCACAAGTACAATCAAGTACTTTTACTGTGTACTTTTTGAGTAATCCTTTGTCAAACTCCACCCCTGAGTACAATAATGCATGTTTTCTGCCATCTTTGATGAGAGATAAAAGGATTTTTTGCAATAAGTTCTTAATAAAATTGGTACAGTTGGATTCAGTACTACTTGGACTACTACTAAAAGTACAATCAAGTACTTTTACTGTGTACTTTTTGAGTCTTGTAATGCGCTGTTGAGGAACCTGCGACCCAAGTTGTGTATATGATCAATACACCTTAGAAAATCTTGAAATCTTGAAAGGGATGTGCAAAAGAGCCATTATACAGTTTTTAATTAACTATTAGTAGAGAATAACGAGTAATGAATATACTTTATAGAGATCTGCAGATAAATGTTTAGTCTTCTCAAGCACCAACTATCAAATATCTCTCCTGATTGTTGGCACTTGACAATCACCTTCCCTGAATTTCACTCAGGTGTAACTAAAGTCTGCTTTAAGGGTTGTTTATATTTCACATCATTAATCAGAATCTGCAAAGTAACTCAACTAAATGTAGTGGAGTAAAAATACCAGGTTAACCTCTGATTTGTAGTGGAGAATTACAAAGTAACAATGAGCTGTCATGTGGGTATATATTAATGCTGCACATTATGGATACAAGCGATTTTCACCCATTTAGTAATTACATGTTTTAAATGTGTACACACCAATGTGTTTCCTATCGCCTAAACCTCCAGAGAACATGTTGCGAAACACAATAGCCAGCATGTGTATTTCTCGGGGGGCGTTAGAGTCCAGTTTTGAATAGTCTGCCGTGGTTTCGTTCCATTTCAAAGAGCTTGACGCTCGGCGTAACCTTGGCGCACTGCCACTCCAACATCACGGGGTTTGTCAACGGGACTGTAGTCCCAAACGATAGCTGGGGATTATGGGTAGTGTAGTATCTTTGGCCATCCTAAATCTCGAAATGTCCCGTCTGTTTCTGGTGACTT